CGAATAGAGGTTCAGTCTTGGGCTCCGGCTCCTTAAAAGACATTATTCCCTCAGTCTAGTACCTTTGATTGCTACTGTTCAAAGGTAAGGGGGGGGGAGATGGAATGATGGTGTCGGAAAGATCACATTACCCAGAGTGAAACAGGAAACAATTTGTAAGGTGGAACATCAAAGTGACTGCGTACCTTTGCTATATAGGGTTCCATATTATTAACCCTGCAACCCTTTACATTGTTATACCCACGAGTGACTCATTAGACGGGTCATTGGCTCCCAGGCTGATGTCAATATTTCATCGTCTGTATGCATAATTTGACAGTTAAATCAGAGCAGCCTTTTCAAAGGAAAAATAAACTATAAAATGTGTGAGCGCAGAAGAGGGAGAGGGGAACAGGCAGCCCTCTTCACAGCAGCACTTCTGATGGAGCAGAAAGGGAAAGATTGATGAGGGAGGAAGAGAAACAACAGGGAACCTACAGTACTGCCCCAACCACCGGCTCCTTGTATTCCTTATCATCCCTGTGTCTTAACGTTTGATCTCTGTAAAGTGTGGCACCTCTTTCTGTCTTTGACGAGTTCCTGTCAAGTATAGTGATTCCCAAACTCTGGTACACATGACACTGGGGGTATGCAAGCTTCACCTTCGTAGTGTCGTGTAAGAGGATTGCTGAAATACCCAACAATTGCAATCCAACTGGCCCCAAAATCACATTACAGTGTTTTAAAAATAAGTTGTTGGTCAAAGATATATTAGAATCAATAATTGGCGTGACCTAGTAAGTTAAGTGACGGCTTAATGCAGTTTGATTCCGACTCCTTAGACGTTGATAATAAGTAGTATTTTAAAATGTTTCTTTAAAAGAAAGAATTAGATCATAGACAAGCGGCAATGCTGACTTAAGATAGATGAACCTTTCAATGCTGAACAAGAGTTTGAGTAGACAGTTGAGCCGCTGAGCGACAGCTTCTAGCAAAATGAAAATACATTACGAACAGCAACATGGGATTTACCGTCACTGGGATAGAGGAAAAGACAAGGCTGTATAAAGGCAAGGGTTTTTTAGAATGTTACACTTTTGCTATCTGCAGTGGGAAGTGGTACTTAGAGGTCATTTTGTTTGGTATGAAGGGGTAAATGAATGGTCTAAAAGGTTTTGGAATCTCACCATTATACCCATAAAGGTGTGTTTTCAGTTCATGAAATTATCTGTAATGAGAGCAGTGTCTCTGAAGCCCACGGTGGGTAAAACATTACTATCTATGTCACTACAATAAGGGCTTCCATTTAATAATGCTATCTAGTTGTGAGTGATACTACAAAAGTAATTAATATCCTAAGCCCAGGCGACAGAAAACAGTCTAAGTGGTTGCATTTACTAGACAAGAACAAAAAAGCCACGTCCAATTCAATGCCAGCTTTTTAATGAATGGTGGGCCAGCGGCTGAGATTTGAGGGCAGGCTCAGAGTTCACACGACTGCTAAATACTTGATGTGGTCTTAAAGGGGAATCCCCTCAAGGTTTATCCGTCTTCAGATGCCTCAGGCGTTCATGCATTCGCTAAGACTCATCTAGGTTTAGAATCCCATTTCTAATTAAGATTTCTATATTTTAACCCCAGCTACCGTTTCTGAATAATTTTCACCCTTTCTTCCTTACTTTAAATGGAAGAGGTCTCTTTAAATATATATTCACCTTTCCAGCAGATATATTTTGACTGACTCCCACTTATTAATCCTCAACATACTTTTAGATCCCCTTTGAACTTTAGACTAGATTTTCAAGTGTTTTTATATAACATTAAATACTTTCAACTAGATAAGAAACGATCAATACATTTTGGTTTTGTTGAACTAATATGAAATTGTACTTTTTATAAAAATCGATGGGTTCCCTCAAATAGCAGAGCCTTAACTGACTAAACTAACAGTATACATGTTTTATCAATGGTCAATTACATCATCATTGATTCCATATTCTCAGTGACTTCTGTTCGAGTCTGAGCCAAAAATAAGATGCTTGTTAAACTGCAACTCGAGAAGGCCGAGCAATAAAGAAGGAATTGAAAGATGAACTGACGTTGAACTGTCCGCTGATTCTAAATTTAACATATGACCATTTGTGTTTCATGCCAGTTTAAACTAAAAGTCGCACTCATTAGATTCTCAAAAAACATAGAATACAGTAGAGTAACAGTCCTCGATACAGCTGCTCTGGTCTGATTTTGGAATGAAACCACGTTCCTCATTAGGACCTCTAAGCCCATGTAACATGAAGACATCACATCCAAAGCACCAATTATAACCCCCTGCCTCTCTTTTTTCCTCTTTCCTTACCGCTTTAATTCCCCCCCACCCCACCCCACTATCTGTCTCTTCATCTTTTCGCTTCGATGGGCCTGCCATTCTATTAATCTCAGCAACAGATTGCCTCTATTAATTAGTCTACATCTCCCATCTTGCATGTAATAATCGGAGGTAATGGAGATATTAGGAAGATAAGGTTATTTCTGCAGCCACAATCGCTTTTAATTAGCCCGAAGATGAAGAGATAGATTTGCTCCTGCCTGGCTGACGTCCAGACAGACAGCGCAAGGTCTTTTTATCGCCACAAAGTTCTGTGAGGACACGTATTCAGCAGCAAATATAATGTTATCAAAATATATCTGTTCCAACATGTCTCACAGGACACTTCACATAGGGAGGGTAATAATGCATCCCTGTAGACAAAACACATTTCCAGCTTGTCATCAGTGACATTTCAGAATTCTTATCATTTCTCACAGACACACATATAAGTTACACGGCACACAAAGAGGTCATAATAATAATAATAATGTGTGCTTCTCTAATTCAAATGTATCTGCATTGCCATTTAATTTTAAATGATGGGGGTCATACTGTAGGCTCAACGACATAATTGAGAAAATGTCTATACAGCATGTCGGTAGTTAATTGGAAGGGCCAAGGTGCACTAAACAGACAAGGAGAACAGACATGGGTAATTACCGGTGGTGTGTTAAAATGTGTGTGCGCTCACATGTGTGTCACTGTGTGAGAGTCAGTGCTTTCGCTTAGAGGTAATTACACCCTAGACTATAAATAAAGAATACCAACTCCTGTCGCTACTTCTCCCTGCTGACACACGGAGTCGTTTTTTCCTGATCTCATCGCTAATGTTGTGATTTTACGGCTACCGTGCTGGACAGAGTAACTAGAGCTGACCTCTGCAGCATTCATGTATCTCACTCTATAAAACACTTTGCCGCTGCAAGCACTGTCCTGACGCTTCCTCGGGGCAAGGAGCTCATCCAGTTTAATGGTTGATGTTCCTGGACCGCTCCCTACACACCCGTTACTCACCCTTACCCTGTCAGAGCACTGCCTACAGGGCACACATAATGAAGAGAATAGAACATATAACAACACTGCAGAGCACATCATTAAACCATTTTCTATTACAGTGCTCAGTATCAAATGTATAGAAAAACACTGCTGCCAGGTTTTTAAGGACCCAGCTCCATGGCTCCCAGTGGGATGCTCAGGTCTCCATGGTGTTACTGGTCAGACAGTTTTACCACTGACTACATTTTAACAAACCATTTTTCTCTGGGGAATCTTGAAGGAGACCTTATAACAATTCAACCCAGGGACTGTAATCCTTATCCAAGTTGCTATTGGCTATACTGTGCAGCTTTACAGCATTATTATCATCCTGCCAGTGTTCAGAAACCTATGCAAAGAGAGGGGGAATGGAGGGTCTTTAAGTATTTCTAAGCTTGCAAAAATTGAGTGTCAAAATTCAAATTTAGGGTGGCAGGAAAAGCTTTGGGATTGTTAGTCACTACAGCCCAGTAGGAAAAAAAAAAGGTTGGAGAAGTAATGAGAGCAGTCGGAGCAGAGCTTAGTGAAGACTGTGGTTAGTGGTGGTCTAATGGATAGTGAGGGCTGGAGATCAGAAGGTTGTGAGTTCAAATCCCACCTGGAACACCACCACTAGTGTGCCCTTGAGTAAGACACTTACCCGTAGTTACTCCAGGGAGAATGTCTTGGTAATTGGTAATTGTAAGTCGCTTTGGATAAAAGCGTCAGCTAAATGAAATGTAATGACTGTAAAATGACTCTATAGAGTTGGAGAGATGAATATATTTATCACAAAGAAGGCAAAACTTGACATATTTGAGTCCACTATGTCCTATTCTGGTTTTTAATACCACATCTCTTTGTAATAGAAGTAAATGAAGTCAGACAACTCCTAACACTGTTCAACATAGATGTCTGAAAAGTGACTGATAAAGATGGTCCTATATCATGGCTAGAGAGATATAAAACCGTTTCTAAAACTCTTGAACAGTGTTCCTGCACTTTCATACATTTGTTTTACTCTTGGTCGATGTGACCAAACATAAAGGCTACTCTGATAAATGTGATGCGTTACTCTAACTTGAACTCCCAACAATTGATTATGTAGTTAAGAATACAGTAGGAACACTTTGAACCACTGCGACATCAACATGCTCATCATAACCCATTTGTGTATGATGAATGCAGCACTTTGAGAGGACCCATACTTTTGACTTCATATATATATATAATCTTGATGATTCGATATAACTTTGTAACGATTACCTGTTGGTTTGGAAAAATTTACATTATAATTAAAACCATAATTAAATGAAACTCTAACTCCGTGTTAAGTGAGCGTTATCACATTATTTTTAAATATATATCTATATTTAGAAGCTTATTGCTAAGTAAGGAGCAGGAACTCCAGCCAAAGCCTCGGGCCACTGTTCTCAAGACTGGAGCCAAAATCCTCTGAGAGAAGATGTTCTGACAGAGGATCAACATGCATTTGGGATGAACTGTCGTGTGGAATCTGTCACTCTAAAGGGAAATCTAAATTGAGATGAGATGCATGCATGCTTACACACCTCTAACACTGTATTCCATTCTGCATTTTTTATCATATTTACTTATGTTTGGTCCTGTGTTTGTGTAGTCTCAGATGAAGATGAAGTCTGCGGGCGTGGTGGACGGAGGCTTGTTCACAGAGAGCTACTGTAACATCTGCAATGCCCAGCTCATCTCGGAGTCCCAGCGCACCGCTCACTACGAGGTGAGTCCGTCTCCACTCACACACGAATGTTTGACAAAAACTGAATAAAACAAAATGCTGCAACGAACACTGCTTTGATGAGCAGATTTCTTCACGGTGCGCTTTGCATCAGTCTTATTTGTACCAATTTGTGCTTTTGCTATTGTGCTCATCCATTATACATAGACTTAATGCTGCATGGTAATGTTAGTCATTTGCACTCAAACAAACACGCAGACTTTTTGTTTTAATGTAGTCTACCTCTCAGCAGTCTCCCTTTGAGCAATTGAATGAAAAGCCATCCAATAATCAGCCCTGTGCAATGTTTAACTCGGGTGTGTGTGTGTACTGCATTGAGGTCGTCCTTGATTACAAGACACAATTGAGATTAACAAGCAGACTAATGAGGACAAGACCCTTATCAGGAGAGAAATAAGCGAGCACAACAGTGTACCAACCACATTCACTTCAAAGTATTTCTGCATCGCAACCTACCTCCAACAAAAACACACAGCCTTGATCTGTGCAGAGAGTAGGCCAGCTCAGTTTATGTTCTCAGTGTCACCTCTACTTTCTATAGAGGTCAGTAGACCAAGGAGAGAAGGCAAGACATCATTTGAAGGCAGGGAGAGTGGGAGTTTGCATCTTAGATTCAATACAAATAAAGGGCAATCAAAAGGCAGCTTTACTTGTAGAGCACTTTCCAGAGGGTAACATAATATGTTAGACGACAACAACAGGTCAAAGAAAGGACAACTTGAATGTGGGAGGATTTAAGGAAGAGGATTCTGGAGTCGATGCTAATCAGGACTAAGGCAGTAATGCACCTGAACAATTCGATCAATGACAAAAATACCGAAAGAATAACTGTTGTTCTTCAGCAGGTTCGTTACAACAATTAGCAATAACAGCTTGCTTGCCACTACTATTCATAAACTGGCTTGCATGGATGGACTACAACTAACACACATGTTAACTGTGAACAAGGGGTCCTTTAGCAAGTGAAATATGAATCTACTTGTCAATATGAAAAATAAATGTTATCCCCGTCTCCACTGCGTAACACATTTGGAAACAAATCAAATGTGTTCTGTGTTGTTGGTAGCTCTAAAAAAAAAAAAGAGTGAGAGATTGACCGCTTACTGCCTTAAGAAGAAATGTTTTCACCAATATTTTCTTATTTGGGATTTGTTTTTAAGAACATAATCTAACCACATACAAGTGCAGTCATATTATACGCACATTTGAGTCCCGTTTGTGCAAAATAGATGGTACCTGCATGTTCTTTAATCCTACAGTTGTGTAGTATAGGATTACAATTTGAATATTAAGCCGTTAAACAGAAAGAAACTGTCCTCTGCCCTGTCTGTCTCCTCCAACTGGATTTGACACTGAGGAAAACAGCGGCAGAAGAGACAGAGACAGATCCTTTAGAGAAGGGCAGGCGCTGAGGGTTAGTGCGGGGTAACCATGGTGACACAAGGTCCCGCTTTTAGCCCGTATCCCGGAGCCATCGACTGCATGACCATTTATACACCTATAAACACAAGGATACACTCAGACACACCAACACACACAAGCACTGACAAAATGCATTAAAGTAGTCTGACAAGTGAGGAGGCATGGGGGGGGGGGGGCGGGCGGGGGGATTTCTTCTCCCCGGGGTAGACGATCCAATCTAAGCACTGAGGCAGCCAGTCCAGAGTCTTGTCACTCTCCCATGCAATTCCTTTGTGCCGTTCTCAGCCATTATATACATTTAAACGTATGCTTTTCCACCGATCAACAGCAAATTGTTTCCTTCACATGTCATTTCAGTTCTGGCGGATAAAGCCATTTTTTCATATATGGTTTGTCACTTTTAATCAATTCCATCCCCTATCAATCAATTTTCAACCTTGAAGCTTTGTAACCCCAATTCTATCCCTGCATTGTCATATCATCATTTATATTTGACTCAAAATGTGGCGGTATAGATTCGATGTCTTTGACAGTGTCAACACTTGCTTCTGGAAAATTGTCCCAGCACTGGAATTTATAGATAATAATAGTTGTCACATTGTAGAAAGGAGTGAAGGTCACAGAGCATGACAATAAAAGCATATGTATAGAACGAGATCACACACACACACACACACACACACACACACACACACACACACACACACACCACACACACACACCACACACCACACACACACACAACACACACACACACACACACACACACACACACACACACACACACAACACACACACACACACACACACACACACACACACACACACACACACACACACCACACACACACACACACACACACACACACACACACCACACACACACACACACACCACACACACACACACACACACACAACACAACACACACACACACACACACACACACACACACACACACACACACACACACACACACACACACACACACACACACACATCACAGCTTATAGAGATGGTGACGGAGGCAGGCAAAAACACCCACAGCCAGGTGGGCCGAAAACACAACAATATCAATGAAGCAGCACGAACCCTAACAGTTCAAAGTACTTGAACTGTAAAGCTCACTAATAGCTTTTTTTTATATTGTACACTCATATATTCCAATTATAATCATATCTTAAATGATATTAATCATGATTCCCCAAAAGGGCTCTTTGCCTTTCTATTTCACAAAGCCACTAGGATATCATTGTTTACATTTTGCCGCCCCTCTAAACGACTGCCTCACTTCATTTAGCACTTTACAGAGCCAGTGTGCACAGGTGAAATAAAGAGCTCTCCCACCACTCCCCCTTCCCCAACATCTGACTCAGGGCTCCCAAAAAGCTGAGGCTGGCCCGGACCATTAGTCACCTAGCCGGGAGCAAAACCGTCTGCTAGCATCATCAACTGCAGCAATGCTTATCGTCCAGAGAGATAAAAGCTTGGAGGAAATGGCCGAGGTGGAGTGACAGTCATTGATTTTGGTTTCCACTTGGCTCAGTTGATCAAATAAATCTCAGTTCACTGTCTGACACTCTTACTCTCTCTTACTGTCTTTTTCTCAGAGCAAGAAGCATGCCAACAAGGTACGTCTGTTCTACATGCTTCACCCAGAAGATGGAGGACCCCCTTCCAAGAGACTGCGGCCAGATAACCCAGTATGCTCCCTGCATGTGTGTGTTTCTGTGTCTGTGTTGCATCTTTCATACAATGCTATTTACATTTTATTTAGACTTTCAAGCTAAACATTTAGTATTAGTGCATGGAATTACCTTAAATGTACACGTTTTGTGGTACAATCACAAGCTGAAATAACTGTGAAGATGTGATGGGAAACACAATTATCTGCATGCTGAAATGTGTGAATTTGTGGCTTTATGCTGTAGTTGACAAACAGAGTTGACTTGTCTTTGTCTAATCCTTTCCTGGGCCTGTCCACTCTCTGGCTCGGCCATTGCAGCTCATGGGCATATTTGTTTGATCTATTGTCTGCACTTGTGTGTTATAATTCCCCCAAAAGAGGTTTTGCCTGGTGTTTCTGGCGAGATTTAGTGAGTGCAGACGCCACCAAGCAGCATTTTATCGGACTATTGCAGGCTTTGGCTAGGGAGGTCAGTGCATTGCTGATATTTGTGAGTCTGTCTTTGTGTTGTGGGTTTGAAATTGTTTTTTTGTTCTCTTTTCTGCAACTGTAGCCAATGCTGAGGTTTGCATTTGTATCCACAGTGAGTTGATGGAGCTGTTGATTCAATGTTGACTTTGTATATGTGCATCTTTGTGTGTTTGCGTCGGTGAAAAGAAATGTGACTATCGTGTCCAGGGAGATTTACTATAGTGCATTGTGTGCCCCATTTCTCCAGCAAGCCCATAAGTCCCACATGGCATAATACACACATACACAATACATTTACTTTGAGGACACAGCTGGTGGAAAAATAAAGCTTATCAAACTAACTGACAAATCAGAGAGAGTGGAGAGAGAGAGAGAGGAGAGGAGAGGAAAAGGTGGAGCGGCTCAGTACCACAGCCAAGACCCTGAGCCCAGAGCCAATTAGCTTTGAACAGCAATGACCCTCTGTCCTCCAAAGACAGGACATTCATAATAAAAACTCAAATATTTGCAAACATTAAGTACAAGTGATTTCAGGCTGCCCTTCATAAATAGGCAATGAACAGTTTTGAACCCTGACAAATGACGCGTGTGATTTTTGGCTCCATCCTCTCACCCAGCATATGTATAAAGTATCATTGAATAACTCTATTAGTCAAGATGCTGAGAATATTTCCAAAATAGATAAAGAACTGTAAGCCATTAACATCCAGGTCATGCTCGAAAATAACTAGTGTTTATTGCTATTAACGCCGCACTTGAAGGCAGAGTGACAAGCCAGTCTTCATAGAGAGAAGAGAGAGGCGATAATTGCTTAAATATGCAGATAAAAGCAACACATATTTAGACAGTCGCTCGTGAAAGGCATTCATACTTTTGCAATCGTTTTGACACATGAAAAGTTGCATAAAGAGTTGTAGATGAGCTTTAGAGAAGTTCAAACCTGCTTGATTTTGAACAATCGCTTTGTGATCGGTGTGAATGTTGGATTGAAAGTAGTGGAAATTGTCAGACACAGCTTCCTTATACCGACCAAGGAAAATTATGGGGGGGGGGGGGGGGGGGGGGGGGGGGGGGAAGCAGGTTGATAAAGCTTTTCAGAATAATGTAATAGTGTAAACCTCTGGAAATGGGCATTAATGTGTCTTAGTCCACCCATGTTCCTTAGTGCACTTAGGTGTCATAAAGTCAAACTATTGGGCATGTCAAGGGCACATGGGTTTACAACTGTACTGTAGGAACACACCTGCGTCTCCATCTGTCTCCCTAAGTGAATAAGACACGACTCAGCCCCTCATACGGGACACTGAACAGACCATGTGCACGCTCATGTACACACTCACCTCATCTGCCGTACAGTAACGCACCGTGACCGCCTCAGCTATAGCAATTTGCTCGTAACCTTTCACGCAGAGATGTGACATTGATTATCCGACAATGCTGCAAAACTGATTGAAGATGGAAGCTCCTCCAGAGATGAAATTCTCATCATACAACTTGGGATTTTCGTCTTTCAACTCTTTCATCTTTTTCTCTTATCTCCCAGTTTTCTAATCTTTTTTCTTACACTGAGTGTTTTTGCCCTCTGTTCTCTTGCTGATTGACATGCTGCATTCCAATGGGAACAGCAGAGAAAGATTTTCTCAGAGTGAATGAAATGCCAGCGTCTACCCAGTGCAAAATGCCATGCCTTGAGGTGTGTGTGTTTGTGTGTACGAGAAAGTGTCAGAGAACAAACGTAGAGAAAGTAGGTCATAAAGGTGCTCCCAGATGAAAGGGGAGGGGACTTTATCCGTTTTTCTCCCCGATTTTCCACCATGCTCTTTCTCCGTCTGTGCAGTTTTTTTACCTGCGCAATGGACAAGAGATAACAAAATGGGTTTTTCTCGCCTATTATTTTCCTCTAATGCTATATCTGCACTCTGGGTCCTTTCAATTTACACTTTCAGCACTCCTTCAAATTCCAAATGAGAGTGTCTGTTTCCTGTGCTGCTCAATGTGTATATTTAGAAATGTTTCCCACAGCGCCTCGACACAGAGCAGTTGGAGAAGCAAGGAGGAGCAGAGAGAAAGCAAAACAGAAGGAGAGGAAGATTAACACAGCTAATTAGGAGTCTATTGTTAGCTGCACGAGCAACATGAAACCAACCCAACACAGAATATTCTGCGATACACAGGCATCACTAACAGGCTGTGGATAAACAGGCAAACATGCGGCATTGCACACACAAACAGAAACACACTCGGCAATTAGGTCGCATGCAAATCAGTCTCAACAGATGTGCGGCAGGTAGAGGCAAAATACAAAAGGAATCTAGAAAACTCAAATGAAGAAACAGAAAGGTTGATGACTTTCAGCGCAGAGCGATGGTGGAGGAAAACAGTGAGTCAGAGATGCTGTTTATTGTTTGAAGTGGCGTAGTGGAGTGGCAGCTGTAATGAGATGACACTTATTCATGTCATTCACCCACACACTCCAGATTGTTTAAAACTTTCCCCGCACTGTCACTAAATCCCTCATTGTCATTGAGCGACAGGATTTGTTCTACCGTCTTCTTTCATGAACACGCGTCTTTGTGTTTTAGTCCCTTTGCTGTCGACTGATGCTTTTACTTTGCAGTGTGCTTTGACAGGTGAGACCACTACATGGTGCCACTGAGACTCAGCTCAACCTCTTTGTCCGGAGTACAAAGAAATATGCAGTTTTGGGACATTGGCTCACTGCGGTTGATTTCCCCCATCCTGGTACAACAACATTTCAGTAGAACAAGATCTCAGCAGCGCTGCCCAGGGGAGAGAACAAGTAGACAAAGTAGGCGGGGGGGGGGGGGAAGTGTAGGGAAAGAGCAATAGGATGACTAGTGAAAAAGACAAGAGGAGGTAAGCATTAGAGAGGAGGTGGAACAGAACAAGGGGGAGATGGTAATGAGGAAGCGGGGGAAATGTAGGTGAAAAGGATGTAATGGAGGAGAGGAGAGGAGACTTGTCCTCATGGGTGCTGACTATGATTAATAAAGACTATGAGTTAAGTATAGGGAAGCCATATTTACTTAACATACTGTAGATCAAAACAAAACTTGCCTTTATCTTCATTTGGCAACCTGAGACAATGCTTCATAATAAAGCACAACAAAATGAACTTGTGGTGACTGAGAAGGAGAGGGAAATTGAGTTTACTGGTGGAGATTGGGGGGGGGTGGACCAGTTCATAGCTAGCTCTTAACATGATCACAGCGGGGACAGACACGGGGGAGGAGTGGAGGCGAGGAGAGAGGGAGGTGGAGTGGAGGTGGCGAGGGCCTGCCAATAGAGATAAATATTTCATCCCACAACACACAGAGTCACTGAGACTGGTGCCCAGGGGGGGGGGGGGCAGAGAGGGAGGGAGAGAAAAAGGCAAGGCAATGACAAAAAGCAAGAGAAGAAGAGTGAGAGAAACAGAAAGCATTAGAAAAAGAAAGCAGGGACAGCTGAGGGACAAAGCTAGGCCTGGGAGGTAAAGGTGTCCTTAAGTCACTGTCCGTGATGCTAACCAGGGCCGACACAAACACACAGAAAACAGAGCACACACTCACAGACTTATACATGGTGTTGTGACGCTGACACTTTTCTATTATTGTCCTCTGTCTGGCTGAGACCAAAGTTTCTCTCCTACATCTCAACTTGACACTAGAGCGCCATTGTAAAGGGAAAAAACAGAGATAGAAAAAGGGAGGAATGTGCAAACCAAAAAAAGAGTTCACATGAGGCAAAGAAATACTTAAAGAGAATTCAAGTCTGGATGAACAGACAGCGAGATGGTGGAGGTTCAATATGAGCAGCAAGAAGAAGAAACAAACTGGGGGGAAAAGTTGTGTAGAATTGAAAAGGTTGGCACTGAAACCGTGAAATATTGCTTTTCTTCAAACAGGAATTCAAAAAATATAAACGTAAATCATCCCCGTTTCCATTTATATATAAATATGAGAAAGCTGAACATCACACCCGTATGTGATTGCGATATCTAATTCTGAAATCTTGGACTTTAAGTATTAATATGCTGAATAACCGCCGTCCACAAGTTGTTGGAGCTGCTGGGATTCCATTCAGCCACGGGGCATTCGTGAGGTCAGGGACTGATGTCGGACGATAAGGCCGAGCTGACAGTCTGTCTTATTTCTTCCCAAAGGTGTTGGATGGGGTTGAGGTCAGGTCTTTGTGCAGGCCAGTCAACTTGTTTTTCACCACACTCAGAAAAACAAGTCTTTCATCAAACCCTTGCTGTGTGCATGGGGACAGGAAAGGGCCTATTCACCACACAGTTGAAAAACACAAGAGAATTGTGTGATGAAGAATTTCAATTTTCTTTAACTGGAACTACAAGGAGCTTAGCCCAAACACTGCTGTGGAGACATACTTTTAGTGTCTTCCATAACTGCACTTTGTGTCTTAGTGTTGTAGATTATGTTGTGATTTATCTTAGTTTAGAAAGAATAAGTGCATGATAGGAGCAAGGTTTACAGGCAATTGTCCTATTACATCAGTTATTACCCGATATTTCCAGAATTGAATCCCTTTTTATTGACGTGCAGTCCACAATATATGGTTTTTCCCTTGAGTATAAACAAACTGAAAAAGCTATAGATGTGTGCCTGTGTATTTGTGTGTATTTGCAGGCGAGAGTTTGTTTGTTTGTACATTTGTGTCAATCAGGCGGTTGGTCTTTTTGTTTGTGTTCGCTCCCTCCCGTGGGGAAAAACACCCCCTCATCATTAGTAATGAACCAGCGGCGGTGAAAGAGCCACAGTCTCAGCCCAGAGAGAGATGAATATTTGATCAGCCTTCTCTTTGCTTTCTGTATGTGTGTGCATGTATGCGTGTCTGTGTGTGTGTCTCAGTGTGTGTGTGTTAAACAGACACAGTCCACAAGGTCAGTGCAAAGTACACAACTTCCCATTTTTCATCTCCCCCTGCCTTTTCTCACCTTCACCTCTCGCTGCCTCTCTTCTCACATCGTTCCTTTCTTCACCTCCACCAACCTCTTTTCTTATTCATCTCCCTCGACCCCTCCACCCATATGGTTCATTTTGGTCTCATATGACCTCTCCCTCTCTCCCTTGTCTCTCTCCTTTACCTTCTCCCCCCTCTGCTCTCCTCCTGTAGGAATGTTCAGAGACAGAGGTGGACAGGAACAAGTGCTGTACGCTGTGTAATATGTTCTTCACTTCCGCCATTGTGGCCCAGTCGCACTACCAGGGCAAAACCCACGCCAAGAGAGTCCGCCTGGTGCTGGGGGAGCAGCCCAGCCTGCCCTCAGCCATGACCAGCCCCACAAACACAGGTATCACACACCTTTACTTTAAGTATATTTTGATGCCGATACTTCTGTACTTTTACTTAAGTAAGATTTTATACGCACGACTTGACCTCTTCTTCTTCCACTACTGCATCAGTCGAGTTTGTAGGGAAAGAAAGAGAAAAAGAGTATAATCCAGATTCTACTTGTCCTTTTACTGGTCAGACCTGAAAGTGAAACTTGACACGTCTAATCTATAAAACAACTGACTGTAAACCAGTGCTTTGGTGATCAGCTGTTTCTATCCAAGCTGATCAATACCTCTATTGAATTCCGATCATGCTGTTTGAACACCGACTCCCAAAGTAATTACCTTAGTCGAAAAGACACCTCACCTCTGCTCGCACATGCTTCTGTAATCCACACATCTAGTTTTTGCAACTTTTGCACTGGAGTGAGAATTATTTTGAGTTCAAAGCATACATTTTTTATCAGAAGTGGATTTGGAAAGCTTTAGTCATGCTTCAGTCAAAATGTCTAGCCTGGATATCAGAGGGAAATGTCTGGGAATGCCAACATGCCAGAGGCCAGGAAGTTACGCTTTGAAGGTGAAGCTCACAGACAGCCTTTCATTTATAAAGGTCTTATGGTAAGTATAAAAATGACTTTAAAAAAATCAAGGCATGCACAATTTTTATATTGTTGTTCATGCTTTCATGATTGATTAAGATTAGCATTTTTCTAATAGTCAGTGCTGGTGTGTCGTCTCCAGGGGAGCTTTACATAATGAGGTTCAAATTGGAATTCAAAGAGAATTCACAGCGCTATAATAAACACGCAATGGCCACAAAATGGAGTGTTATAATCAAGCCCCTGAGTGACTTCTGCTAAACTTTGGCCCACTTTGAAGAAGTGTCACTTCTCTGCTTCCGCTGCCGTGGAGTTTGCGTGGTTTTGTGACAGTGGGACCTGGAGGAAACAAGAGAACAAGAACAAGAAGAGAGAAAGAGTGACCTGGGAGAGAAGAAGAGGATTTCAGGAGAGATTAAAGTCAAAAGTAGCCTTCATGATCGCTCTGAGATGAGCGCTCCGCAAAAGAGGCACAGCCAAGCTGACAGGCTTGAGCGGACAGAAAAACGCTCATGCACACACACACAATCATCAGAAACACACATCAGCAGGATGACTTATACATGCACATTCATATTAGACATTCACTTTCTTCTGAGGACACATGGATACTAACATACACACAGAAACACACTCCAACACACACATCAACACAGAGCACACAGTGAGAGAGAGGAAGCAAAGGCCATGTGTGTTGGAGAAGCCCTTGAGAGGTGGAGAGCAGAAGCTGTACCTGCATTCCCTCCCCCTTCACACATCACACACACACACTACAAACCACCGCCTCCTCCTCCTGCACACACACTATCACGCACACTTCCTGTGCCCCATTCCGTGAAAAACACTTACTTCTGCTCCACTGTGCTGAGATCAGAGTCATGGGAGAAAGGGAAGGGTGGGAAAACAAGGGACGGAGAGCTGTGCCACAGAGCTGTCAGAGCTCAGGATCTTCACTCATGCACGGACACACACACACACGGACACACACACAGGACTGCTGCACCAGAGATTTTTGGATGAACTGTTTCAGGACGGAAAAATGAAATGACAGTAGAAGAGTTTACTGGGTTGAGTTCTGTAAGTGAGATGATAGTGTGGCGAAGGCAAACACAAGCAAAGGGAATGTGAGTGGGTGTGGTTGGTGAGTTGAGCGGAGACACAGCCATAGATACAGTTACTATGTGAACAGAGCCCGAATACACATCAAGGTATGAGCAACCAATCAGCGTGCAGGGCTAGAGTCAGGTCAACACAGGCGCACGCACAAAAAAGAATACTCATGGTCACTGGCCAACACTTCATGAATGCTCTTCATTTGTTATCAGTGAGCTGATGGTTATTGTGAAAGAAGTGTTGTGACTCATTAGGGCTCAAAAGCATGTGTGTGTGGGCTTTTGTCCGTCAATATAAAATGTTTAAAACCTGTGTTATTGTGTACTCAAAGTGGTTCTATCTCGTCATTGACACATTGTAGATGGCAAATCGGCACATTTGGACATGCCATCTGTCATTATGAGCTTTCGCACACGATTTGGCTGTGGACCTAGCACCCCCTCACTGTGATCAAATACACAGATTGAGCAGAGAGGATTCCTTTAGAACAGATACACACAGATACACAGATACACACACACACACACACACACCACCCCCTCTGGAGCTTTAATCATTCTTACACAATCACAGGTATTCACACATTTTCCTACAAATGCATTATACATTCAAACCGCCACCCAATCAGCCAAATGTACACACAGACACACACACGGACACGCACACAGACACGCACGCACATACGCAGTCTTCGCTGTGTGAGACACAACCGTGTCCTGTGGACAAGTCAGTGCCTGTTGGCTATTAATGGGCAATCACCATGGTAACCAGTGTCATGTCACGAGTAGCAGGTCACCTGGAAGTTTGCCATTTCTTGTTTCTTTTTTTTCCATTTCCCAGTTTATTTCCTCAGAGGAAAATAAATGAAGAGGAGAGAAGAGGGGAGGAGAGGAGAGATAGGGATGAAAGGGGAGGAAATATCAGATGAAAGGATGTAGGTAAAAAAAAAAGATAGAGCAGGAAGGTTCAGACGTGGTAGATGTTTGTGGAAAGCACTTGCAGTCTGCTCCCTGGATTGCTGATGGCTTCCTCCTGACCCTCATCTATGTTTCACAGATGTGACCTGCTGCAATCTGCCGCTCCATCAGTAACCTAAAGCGCTCACATTTAGTGGGTATTTCATCAGTTTTTAGTTTTTTTCAGAAAGACAGTGTCTGCATCTGTTCGATATGAATACATGAATGAATGAATGTCCTTGTTAATGTTATTTAATCATTATATTTAGATTTGATGTGATCGTTTCCTTCAAACTCAATTCGATTTTATATGAATATGCTCCCCCTCCTCCCTGTGCAATCCTCACCCCCCGTCTCCACTTCATAACTGTTCACATCTTCTTTCCCCAGACTCCTCCCCTTCCACCCCGTTGCCCGCAGACCCCGCTGCGTGCCCCACTCCTACCCCTGACCTGGCATGGCCCCTGGGCGTGGTCGGGGGAAACGGTGGAAGAGAAGCGGGGAAGTACTGCTGCCTGTGCGGCGCCTGGTTCAACAACCCGCTGATGGCCCAGCAGCACTACGAGGGCAAGAAACACCGCAGGAATGCAGCCAGAGCACGCCTCCTGGAGCAGCTAGCGGGCAGTCTGGATGCCACGGAGAGCACAGGTCAGACTCCTGGCCCCGGGCCCACACAAGTGACAAGAGAAGGGCAGGCGGGGACTTAGCACTTTGTAATACGAAAGATGATGAGGGGGAGATCAGATTCAAGATCTGTGGCAGTGAGGGTGGACTGAAATGTTCATATGCCTTTCTATGTGGTGTCCGTTTCACAAATGTTTTACTGAGGAAAGCCACACCCGTTATTCACAGACAGAATTAGCACCACCAGCAAGTTACTGTTAAGGTCGGCTTATTCACATTCACTGTGCATTCTGATGAATACGGGTTCTGTGACCCACTACCGGTGTCCTTGAACCATATCTGTTTCTATTCATTATGTGCAATACTTTGATTTACATACTGCTGCATCGAAAACATTTCCCAACGAAAAATGTCCCAATTTAGGATTAATAAAGTATATATTTTTTATCTTAAATCACTCCAGAGCTTCAAACCCTCTCTCCTCCAACTGTTTTGACAATATAGAATTAATTTTCCAAAAATGATAGAAAAATGTGATTCAAAGCTTTATACTTCTGTGGTAGGGTAATCACAACATATGTAAATGTTCAAAGCCACTCCACCATTGTTTTTATTGTGTCTATGTCATTTGTGTTTTTGAAGAAGCACCAGATATATCCAGATATAGCGATTTGGGTTTTGAAGCTACAGATTTCTCAAAGAAAGCCGACAAATTGGGGCATGTAGTTCAAAAACATGGTAAAGAACAGCCGTGGGTAAAAAAAATAATGGGGCTGTCGAGTTGCATTATTGTACCTGTAGGAAACAGGTGTTTTGGAGCTCGATGCCTTGCTTGCCCTCTGCTTAATTTACTTTCCATTGCTTTTTTTTGCTTTTTCTTAAATCACTTGAGGAAATGTAATACAAGATCATAAGGGTACTATTGACCCTAAGCTAAACAAAATCATATTAAAGCTCATCCATCATCACAAACATGTGTTTCTCCCTAGAAGTGTTTCTGAATATTAACACACCATTCAATCCTCTCCATGTTGGTTGTCTGTGGTCACAGTCCCCTCATATTACAGCATAGCTCTGACACTTGTTAGTGCCAGCAGTGCAGCATGTTAAACTGTCCTGACAAAGTAATGGGACCTATATGGCATGCTGCATACATCATACCTACAGTAAAAGGAAATACATTGCACAAGCACTGTTATATCATCTAACAACATCATATTTCTGCTGAACGTTAAGGATGAGTGCCAAAGTAAATCAGGAACTTGTGTTTACGATTACACTGAAAGGTTTGTTTTTTTCTGTTATAGAATTAATTTGTAAAACACAGGTTTATTTAATTATGTAGCGATTCCTGGGTTTTAATTTCTATTCTTTCTCCCTCCCACACAAATACTTCCATGCACAAATGTAGCAGCAAGAGGACACGTATTCACATGCTCACACACACATTTATGCCAGAAGGGTATTCTAATGAAATTATTAATAGTCTTTGGCACAGGAAGTGATTTGTTTTTAAATTCTATGAGTGATATCGTCTAACAGCCTCCTACTGCAGCACACAGCCCAACATACTATGCGAGTGCCACAACACCTCGACTACACACACACATTCCAATCTGACACACTGCATGCCTACACTGCTTCGTACACACACCCATGCAAATCCTCTGTGAGCCGAAGCTGCACCGTGCGCTTTGTGCTCCAGGTGCCATGACACAAACCATCATCTCAAGAAGCCAATCATATTAAAAGCATGAGTCATGTTGCCGCCTACACTGGCTCAGAGGCTTTAAGTGGTGTCATGTTGGATATCGTCCTCCTTCCACACACTGTGACCCACATCCTCAGCTGTTTTGGGGTTTCGACTCCAAATCTCAGCATGTAACTCCAGAAGATAAATCAAACTTGAAGTATAACATAGTCAGATTTGTATTTGATCAAAGATATTTGCTCTCGGTGGAGAGTGACGCTCTGCTGCAAAATCTATTACCCGCCTTCTTTTCAAGGGCAATGAATGGTCCCAGATTTCCAAGTGAGCTCACAGCTGACGTGATCTATTATACGTGCCATCAATCAAGTGTTTGTTCCAGTGCCTATAGTCTGAAACACTTTTTTCCCCGCAGTACGGCTCCATTGTCAGCAGGCGTTTGTTCTTCCCGAGTTGGACACATTTCCATTGGTGCAAGATTCTCACATCTGATTGGCTTTCATCACCGTTTCAGGTGTGAATTCACAGGTATAACCGGGTGTAATCTCGTGGCTGAAGCTGAGCTGAGACAGAGAGGAGGGAGAGAGGGGGGCGGGGGGGAATTGTGTCTCAGCCAAGTGCAGATTCGTCTCTGTCCTTTTGTCCTCCTTTTCACGCTGTGAAACTGTTTTCTCTTTACACTCGGTTTTTCTTTTTTTCCTCGCCCTCTTCCTTCTGCTGCACTCTGTCTTGTGTTGTTGCTGTGGTATTTGTGTGTGTAAATGCATGCGCGTGTGCGAGTTCACCACTAGGGGCTCCTATCTCTCGTCATGTCTCATCCGTCATCCTCATTAGCTCCCCACGAGTTGCAGGTGAATTATTTACACACCAATATTTCCTCTCTCTCTCCAAACTATAGCTGCACAGACTGCCTGCTGTATTGTCTGGATGTGTCATATTGATGACGCTGACCTTTACTTGTACTCGCATATTCTGTCTTTGTCTCTCTCCCTATTTCCCGCTTCCCCTTTCAGACTCAAGACCAAAACATATCAAAAAAGGATATGACATTTATATCGAAACCTTTTCTTACTCCTGGATTTTCCCGGTGTAATTGTGCAGACAGGACCCAGGGGAGGCTGTGGTTATTCTTCACGGCTAGGTGCCAGACAAAACCTTTGGAGATGGATTACGGAGGTGGACGAGGGAGTTGCAGTGGGGCTGGCCACTGACGAGCAATGGAGCCAGGCTGACTCGGTTGTCTTTTTACATAAATCACGACAACAGTAGAAACCCCTCAAGACAGAGCCGGGGCATTGTCTCCACTCTCTGGAGACTCAGTAGATAATTAGAAGCAGTGAGATAAGCGTCTAGGATTGGGCTACGTGTGTGTGTGTGTGTGTGTGTGTGTGTGTGTGTGTGTGTGTGTGTGTGGACTGGGGAGGTACCAAAGCAGGGAAAAGTGTGTGTAATTGATGACTGTGCCGGTGTTGGGACACAGAGCTGACCTCATCGCCCATGAGGCAGCACTCACTGTGACAGAGTTGCAAAAGCAAATCGCTTTTATACGTGCACACATAAACAAGATAAACTGTACAGCAGGTACTGTAAATCCCACATATAAATACCAGTTTTTTCTTTAAGTTTTATACTTTCCCAGTTGAACGATTTATCATCAACACTCATATTTGCGTTCCATGCTGTTTTCTTGATGATTACACGGGACATTATCTGCTAGATAATAATAATGGGCGCCTCTAGATAAGCATGTTATTTTTATATATAAGTGTAAATGCTGACCTTTATTGCACTGGTTCTCATTAACCATGACTGAACTGAACAGTCTAAATGTGTTTATGTACAGTACATGCTATTTTATCGATACTCATTTATTACGCTCGCGGATGAGGAAATACTTTCCTCATCCGCGAGTAGGCGAGGGTATCGCAGCCCACTGTCATTAAGGCCAAATCTTAATACAAATTGTGCTCAGGAAGGAACTGTATTTACCTGGCATTATGACCAAAGAGATTGAAATACTCCAGACTTTAACGGATTGTCCCTGTAGTAGACCAAATAGTAAATACTGGAAATCCTGCCATGTACTTTTCCACTTGATAACCAAGGCTAAAAAGCATCTCTTATTCCTATATGGTCCTCTTTCATAGTATTTATTTCACAACTACATGCCATTTCTGATAGATTTCATACATATCTCAAGCATGTCATCTAATGTACACTACAAATGTAATGTTTTGACATCAATCCTGAAACTCGGGTATCAAATTGGAACTGTCAATACGTCATATAAAGTGTTCAAACAATAGCCAGCCCGAGTCTATTTATAAAGTGCTGCATGAATGTCTTAAAACTTGAAAATGTGTTAGCTTGTTACCACTTCCGGTTCCCTCTTTTCGTAGGCAATGTTGTTCTGAACATAAGTGGGTTGGTTGGTTGGTTAGATGCCTGGAATAAAGTATGTGGTTGAGCAGAGAATGTTAGTTTGTTGATAGCCAAATGTTAGCCTTTTACTTCTGGTGATTGCATTTACGCTTAAATAAAGAAATAAAAGTGGTCTTAACATTTTGGGCTACCCTGCTGAACCAAACGTGCAAGTTTCATAAATGCATGTCTGCCAGAGATCTTATTTCAACCAATATTTCAAAATCCATAGGAAAAATCCTATTGCTTTTTGTTGGTTCCGGGTCGGCAAATAAAACTACATCATCACTGCACACCTCTAGATGTAAAAGTCAAGTTGAGACGGAGGACATATAACACAATTTAATGAGCTGTAGCGTCAAATTGGAAACTTAAGAATATGGTAGTTTTATCTAAAGGCATTACTTCAGAAATATAGTTTATTTCCTGTGTATGATAATTTTTCGTCAAAACAGATGGTCTGTCCAATTACTGTCACGTTCTCTGCTAAACTAATTAGTCCCTCTATAGGTCCTTCAAAGATTGTAGCTTGGTAGAATTCCACTTCCTTCTCACTCTGAATCCCTGCTCCACCCCTCTCTGCGATGGTATTTGTGATATATTCCAGGGAGACGTACTGTCAAGCCTTTGCGGCAGACTGTTGGTTTTGATTGCATCTCAATGGGCTTCTTTCTGGATCCACTTTCGTTATAATCTTCCAAAGCACATGGTAAACTAAGGGTGTACCACAGCACAAAGGCTCTGAAGAGCTCTGAAAACTATTATGCCTGCCTCCACTGCGAATAAAACTACACATGAATACCACAGTGATATTCTCAGATGCAGTCGGTCCCCAAGGAGGAAGCAGAAAACAAAGGAAAATTCTACCTTGAAATGACCCATATGTAACTTGATGCTAAGCGTTTGTTGTAAAGTATGTTTAAAGCTTTTTTTCTTCTCTATGCGTTCTAAAACCATCAAACTATTTAACCAACAATCTTCAATACAGTTGTTTGTGCTGACCACTGCATGTAAACCCTGAGAGGCTGCAGTTAGCGCTTGGCGACTTCAAATGGGACAATAGTGTTGCTTGTGCTGAGACCTACTTAGAATATATGAAACTCAAATTGCAAAGAAATAGTAAATCTCTTGAAATGAACAACATTTTTTTTTCTTCCAACATCTCATAACTTTTTTGACAAACACTTAGGCGTCATACCAGGGATGCCAGGGGACTTTTGCTTTTAACGACAGTCCCAACCCGCTCCACACCCACTGTCTTAGCTCATCTCACCCCCTCTTTTCTCACTCCCTGGCATATCTTCATGTGCAATTAACAAGGCTTAGAAACATCCTCACAAATACTGCTCATGCTCACAAAAAACCCACATTCACAACCCTACGCTGCATGCTGTCAGCTCAGTTGGGTTGCACACACACGTTCCCTGCATGTAATTAACATGGATTAGGGCACAGTGTTTTCTTATGCCAGAACTGCTTTATTTAACCAAAAGTAGTGTGTGTGTGTGTGTGTGTGAGTGTGAGTGTGAGTGTATGTGTGTTTTCTGACACAAGCTGCAGCATATTGTACATCAGTGCATCTCGGCTAGGCAGTGGGGGGGTTACAGTCTGAAAGCATGGAACACACACACACACACACACACACACACACACACACACACACACACACACACACACACACACACACACACACACACACACACACACACACACACACACACACACACACACACACACACACACACACACACACACACACACACACACACACACACACACACACACACACACACACACACACACACACACACACACACACACACACACACACACACACACACACACACACACACACACACACACACACACACACACACACACACACACACACACACACACACACACACACACACACACACACACACACACACACACACACACACACACACACACACACACAATCGTGTACACAAGAAAAGACCTCTGTGTAATCCTTGCAGCGGTACAGAATTATGAGGAAGAGAAAGGGAAGAAGAATGAGAGAGAATTATCATTCCTTTCTTTTTCTAAATCATCTCTTCTCCAATGAATTGCCTTTTCATTAAGAGAGAACAGAAGTAATGACATTTTGGTTGAAGAGGATACTATCTCTTTTTTTCCCCTCGCTTCACGCACACACACTCCGTTATTAGCTCCTACTGTAATAGATGCAAAATATCAACATTCAAGCCAAGGCAGCGCTTCCTCCAGGCAACTAATCCAGTTTTAGCTTTCTTGTAAATGACTGTTTGTCCTTAATCACCCCTGAAACAGACAGAGCGACTCAGACCACAGGGAGCAGATATGCCACATTATGCAGCCTTGGCCCAGTCGAAATAACCCCCCACCACTCCTAACTGTATCACAACTTCATCCCAACACACTTCACCAATTACCGCCACAGAAGGTCAAAAAGGTGATGGAATACACAGGCAACTCGTAAATCTCCAGGACAGTAATGACAGCGGAGAAAAGGGCACAACCACATAAGCAAGCACACCCAAGTTCAGTCGCCACAGCCAGAATTACACAGTTGTTGTCAGAAAATGAATGTGCTCAGAGAAGGAATGGGGGGGGGGGGGGGGGGGGGGCAATTAGTTTTTGACTGCTTTGCCATACAATCCTGAAGTGTCAAGGCTGTTCATCTCTGATTGGTGGTGACGACATTACGGTGCGCACAATGTGAGAAAACAAAAATAGCATTTGTATAATGCACATGAAATACACAGGCCAACTATGTTATGTTGCCGATTGATCTATCCTACAGAGAGCATTTCCTGTGATCCTCTGCTCTCATGAAAGAAAACAGATTTGTGTGGCCATGCTGTAGTTACCACATACAAGAGGACTTTTTTGGGGGAGGGGATACCCATGTCATTGTTTCCCCCTATGGTCATTAACGCCCAGCATGCATTTGACATCACTGCTGCAGTGTGACAATTACCACGTCTCCGGCTCCTCCACTTGGTCTTTTTATACACGTCTTAATTTTCTCCGGAAATGTTCCTCTTTCACCTAACTCTCCGCCTGCCCCTCCCCTTCTCTCTTCACCCCACTCTGCTCTGTCAGTATCTCCATCCTCATCCATCTATTTCTGGGTGTTCATCTCGACCACCTGCAAACCCTCTAATTAGCTCACATCTGTGTCACAAGCACGCATTCACGGATACAATACAGAGTGCACAGCCGTACACAGTAGTACACAAGTGCACAACCTGCTGCACTGTTCTTTTTTTACCCCGAGTGTCCCAATTCCTCCACCTTGTTGAAGTTTCAAAAGGCACCTTCACACACAAACATAGGAACAAAATAACATTCTCCAAGGTTCTAAACATGTATCTGGCTTTCTGCTACTGATCACTCCAATCAAATCTTTTTCTAGATCCTGTAATGAGGAAATTAGTATGCACTGTATAAAAGAAAAACGTCTAAATAACACTAATCAGTTCAAATGTGTATCATGGCTGATGTTTGCCTCACTGCTGCTGCTAACGATGATCCAGTTGATGAAAGTGTGTTAAGATTGAATGAGCTGTACTTATTGAAAGTGCCCTCACAGTAACCTGTGTGTTTGTGTCTCTCCAGGGCTGCGCAGTAGTTACTCTTGCAGTGTCTGCAGTGTTGTCCTAAACTCTATCGAGCAGTACCATGCACACCTCCAGGGCTCCAAGCACCAGAACAAGTGAGTATCGCCACTGAGGACATGATTCACTATCCATCCTTTCATCCAGACATCCAAAACGTTTTGAAAGAGATTTACAAAACGTTTTGAAAGAGATTTACAAAACAGACAATTCCCACTTTTTAATGTGTATCGTTCTTTTTTACAAATGAGTGCATCACCATAAATATATTTTAGGATTGACAGAATGGGCCCCGTTTATACAATTCATTGCTTTGAGTCTCTGAAGGACTTTATGTGAGAGAGATACAGCAGGCAGCGAACTGCAGCCAGGAGGCTGTGACCACCATTTTCTAACTGAACACTCAATCATGTTCCTGTCTTTTCCTACAGAGGAGAAGCAAACGATGTCACACTACGGTCATGGTATTCCAGTTTACAGTAATCATTTCAAAGAAAATACTGAAATTGGAAAATTATTTTGGTTGGGAATGTAAGAATGTTTTTACAGACAAGGTATGGTTGCCCGTTGCCATGGTTTGTCATTAAGATGAGTTCTGTGGTTCCAAAGATTTCTATTTTATAAATGTTGTTATTTGTATTTCAGACAAAATATCATAACCTAAGCATTCAAACTGCGCATTTCTGTGGACAATGACACAGGGAAAATACTTTTACACTGACAGGGCAACATTTGAAATATCTTACATGCAAAACAGCACAGCTGACATTCACTGGATAGAAATCATTTATAATACACATAGAAGCCACAGAAATGGATGTGGAGCAGGCTGAGAAAGCGTAATGGAAACAGGGTTATTTATTATAAAGAATGACAGTCACGCAATGAGATTTTGTCATTTTTCATTACCGATATGAGAATATGTAATCACAGCCAAAGTGAGGGAAATGATGTTTACCAGCAGGAAAAGTGTGTGATATGGAACAGAAACAATTCATGCATTTACCATGAGATAGCTGTGAGCGTGGTTATAGGCAGTGTGTTGGCGTGTGTGCATGTCCAGTATGTGTCTCTGTGCATTTAAAGCGATGTAATGAAATTAAGTGAATGGAATATTTGTTTGATGACGGTTGCTCGGGGATATAAGTTAGTTGTTACGGCTGTTTCTTTTTCCCTTTTGTCTTTTTTTAGCGTTGAGGCACTACAGCTGAAATGTCTGTATTTTTCCGCCTCAGAGAAACACTTGTCCCGGCTTCGCACACCGAACTACGGCAAACACGTTGACTGTTAGTGGGTGTAGTGACAATAACAACGGCAAAAACAGGAAGGAGAAAGGCAGATGGGGAAGGTGGATGAGATGAGAACAGAAAGTAAATACTGAGATAGGTTTTCTTTTAGCCATGGCTAAATATTTGTATAATCTTTCCTTAGAAAAAGGAACATTTGTGTTATTAAGCTATATGTGAATTATCATGTGTTCCCCCTTATTCAGACCAAACAGTAGGTGCTATGGACACTAGTTATTAGAGAATGTTCTCTTGTCTGCACATTAGTCTTTATGCACTCACTGCAAAAGCTTCCATCATAACAAAATACTAATATGTTTGGTTGGTTTAATGGATTATAGTTTATTAAACAAGAAGAAAATGAAGTCCGTGGGCTGATAAAGGGAACTGTACCAGAAATTATGGTCAATATCCTAGAGTAATGGAATAATAGACTATTGCAGATCACTGCACAAACACCAAGACAAGAAATGTATAAATGTATTAATAAGTTCCACTGTTATTAAATAAATAATAAGCTCAAGAACATTTATTTGTTATGCAGTGCTTTTTTTTTAAATGGTTTGTGTAATCGTTAATATAAGAGTTAACCTCAAGGGACTAAAAATGCTAAATATGTTACAATGAGTGAGGCTCAAACTCGAGGATTAGTAAGGAGGTAGAAATGAGGTAGGTTTCAACAAAAAGAAAGTGACAGCCTAACAGATTAAAAGGGAAGTTTTAAAAACACTCTTTCACACACTTTTCTTAACCAGAGAGCTTGTTAGATTTGACGAGGTAAAAGCATCAAAAAAGTACATTAAGCATTTTATACAGATTTGAAAGATGACTTGATGTACTACAGAACAAGGTTCTCAGCTAAACTTCAAGATGAGGTTTAAAAATGACCATAATGGACAGCATTATTATATTCACAAAGATATGATGTTGACTAGCAGGAAAATGTGTTAGTGTTTTTGGATTATGTTTGCAGAAGGCAATGTCCATTAACAACCAAATGCCACCCTGCAAGATACTGAATCCTACGGTTTTTCACTCACTCACAGTGGGCCGGGATAGGAGTGTCAGCTAAAGTCCTAAAAAGTGAGATTGTCGAGATGTAAAATGTCTCTGCACAGAGGCTGTAAATCAAGGAAAAGATGGTGCCTCATAACTCTCTCCTTCTGTCAGTTAGACTGTCGTAAAGCGGAAAAAGGGCAGACGTACCGAAAGAGTCCTGTTTATGAGAGAGAGAGAGACGGAGAAAGCTCGACTGACTGACATAAGAGAGACAGTATGGAGCACAGATACAGAGAGACAGATGGGAAGAGAGATCAGACAGACAGAAAGACACATCATGTTTGAAACAGAGGCAAAGCCAACGAAAAAAGCATTAAGATGGCAAAATACTGGGATGAATTGATGGGAACAGACAGATGGACTTGCAGTAGAAATGTAGTCATACAAACTGAGACACGGATGGATGGGAGACAAAACGCTGCAAAGAAACCAAATCTAAATTGCAGCTGAGAGAAAATCTCCTTAAATTGAAGTAAAAGGTGGAGCCAGCGAGATAAGGAGCAGATTTGGAGTTTGCACTGAGGCTAACCCAGGGCTGCTGACAGCTGCAGGGCTTAGGATAAGGAGGGGACGGATTGACAGGACATCGACGGATAGAGGGCAGTGAGAGACAGACTGAGAGGGAGGTAGCAGGGAGATTTACAGGGCAGTGCTGATAGGTCACTGGATAGTGGAGGAAGTTTGGTAGAGAGGTGTACAGAGCTGGGCTTCAGTCTTATTCACAGCAGTGATATTAACTCAGCATTGTGCACAGGCATGTGACGTTTAGTAGCACAATGAGTGTTTGGTGATATATTAAAAAGGAACAAAAGTTGGGGTAATTTACAGACAAATATTTGATATCCCTACCCATCCAAAGGTTCTGCTTTAATACACAGTGCATGCATTATTGTTTTTGTTTTAATGCACAATCCATGTTTTACCCAGATGTTTGTATAATTGACTGTATTCATATTTTAAATAATCATGTGAACAATTCCCTGACTTTTTCAGAATACAAACCAAAAATAAAAACACTTATTCATATATTTTGTCTTTATACAAACATGATAAGCAATGAGACAGCGCTTAATGATGTCTGAGGCTAAAGCGTTTATGTGGCCCATCATTTTGGATTATTTCACATGTGATTGTACAGTTTATGTATAGTAATAGAAATGTTGTTTGACCACTTTATTCTTAGAAGTTGCCGTTCTCTATTTTTAATGCAAATGCTATGGATTGTATTAAATTCCCTTCAGCAGTGTGTGTAGGATGCAGACTTAGAGACAGTGTGCATAAAGTGTGTAAGAGTCCATGAGAGAGCCCTCAAAGCACAAGCAATTTGACAGTGCGACAGCCCTGAGCCCTCGCAGACTTATTTTGCGAGCCTGTGCCGGATTCTGTTAAGTCCAGGAGGGTAAAGACTAAACTGGAAATAAATCTTGCCAGCTCTGTTACATTGGAGGATCGATCCTCAGGGAAACATAGAACAAGAACAAAGGTTCCACCTCATCGACCTCACTTCCTCTGCTTCACTCAGGTGAAACACAATACATGAGATGTGTTGGGAACCAATTCAGACCAAGTCTTTCATTTATAGACACATAACCAATCAGCAATGTGCATTACATTAAGTAATAGGGGTGTGCTGTTATAGCAATTAAAGCCTTTTTCACAAGATTTGAGTGTCACTTTTCTGCTGACATGGGAGTGGAAGTGGAAATGAACTCTCTCTCTCTCTCTCTGAGGCATTGGAGGTTCTGACATAAGAATGAATGAGGTGTTTAAAGTCTACTTACTATAGGAACAAGCTGTCTGATTATTGAGCTGCACAGAAAAGTGGTTTATAGTTTTAAACAGTCATGTGTTTTTGGTGTGAATGTAGAAACATGCGAGTACTTATGGAAAAAAGGCTATTGAGATTTTCCTGTTCATATCTCTTGGTTGTTTACAGCGTGGACAAGGCTTTTCCAAAGTGATGTGCGATCTTGCACCATAGCTTTGACTAAATGTGGATGTGTGGATGTCTGTGTGTGTATTTTTGTAGGGTGTGTGTGTTTTTCCACACTCAGGATGAGCTTTGGCTTGTGTAAGGAGCTTTCCGAAGGAGACGAAAGCACGGCTGACAGTGGCAGGGGATTAGCTCTCACCGAAGAAACATCCATGAAAACCGTGTGTGTGCATCTTCGTCTACTTGTGTGTATGCGGCCCACTTGTATGCCTGTGTGAGTGTGTGTGTGTGTGTGATGGCTCTAGGAATGTGTCATCATAAAACAACAACATATTTCTCTATTCTTTAAACAGCTGGGTGCATCCGTCTGCCAGCTCTTCTTATCTGTGACGTACATGTGCCTCATCCCCAGTCAGCTGCAGACTGGCTGCTGTAATTGGACCTGTACTGGATAATAACAGCGGAGATATAGATAAACTCGGCATGACATTTGCGCTGTTTACAGTGTGTTGCCATTAAGACAATGCACTTAGCTGACCAGTATGAACTAGCTCGATGAATATCAAATCCCCCTGTTAGTTCCTGACTCAAGTACTGCCAGTAAAAGCTAATGGCTTGTTTTAAAAAGTGAAAATTAAAGAATGAACATAAGGCTGTCAGCAGAGAGGAGCTGAATTGGTTATTCCAGCCCTACAGCTGGGAGAAGATCTGGCCAACGTTTTGATGATAGCAGGCTGTTCCCAGTGGTGACTGTGCCTGCGTTCATACGGGAGACCTTTTTTTAGTCAACTTTTGAAAGTGATATGCTGTATATGTAAGGGGATGCAGCAATTACTTTGTGGCAAAGTTTGTGTTTCAAGTTTTGATTCTGCCGATTTATGTTTTCTTTATTTTACTTGCAGTTTTGATTAAAAGCCCTTTGTAAATATAATGTATGCAAATAGGATATTACTTATTTTTTGGATAAACATAATGACATAAACAAATTTGGTTATGAGACTCGTGACAAGAACGTGCACGTGGTTCAAATGTTTAAGAACTAGTAGCAGCAGTGACTGTATATACACTGTAGAGTATTTCCTTAAATGCACCTCTTTTATTTTATAGACCCCTGAATCAACTAAATGTTTATGTACCGCAATTACTGTTTGAATACCTGCCAACAAAAATGCCAATAATATTGGCTTATTGGCATGCTGGTGCGTGAGTCAGGCTCTGTTATAACGATCCTTCTGCGTCTGGTTCAACATTGTTTTTATCAATACCATCCAATAGTCTGAGCCAGAACAAGTGTTGCTAGAGAGTTCATACTCGCAGTACAGAATATCCTCAAGGCATTGTGGTTGTTATGCAGTGATTACCAACATGAATAGTTTTTTTGTACAAGTACACATGCATTTAAAAATATTTCTAAAAACAGAACAGGCAAGAGCGCTAATTAGCTCCTTGGAGTCGACCAGAGAAAACAAAGGATCTAAGTAAAGCGCAGTTAACTAGATGGGAACTGTCAGCTGGGTAGTATCTCTGACCAAAGACACTGCGTGGCTTTAACTACCCGTATAATAATATCCATGTTCACATGGCTCACTAAGCTCCATGGCCTTTGCTCTCTGGGTGCTTCTTCATTATACAATCCCGACCTCTGGCCTGCCTGTATGTGGGATTATGTGCAGAGTGTGTGCTTGTGTGCGAGTGTGTGTGTGCGTGTGCGTGTATTTGTGATGTTTATGCTGATGTTAACGTAGGCCCTAAGGGTATAATGGTGAGGTCAGGATCAATCCTTTTAGCCTACTCACCCTGGTAATTATTCAGCATCAGTGTCACAGAGGACACACACACACACACAAACTACAGCACAAAGTAATGCATGTTGAAGAGAGAGAGGCAATGAGAGAGAGAGGGAGGCAGCGAGTGTGAGAGATTACAGTGGTTAGTGTAAAATAACTGAATGTGAATAGTTGAGCCATCGACCAGATAAAGAGGCAGCATGCTGCATGTGTGTGTGTGTCCTCTCCCTGCTCAAGGCAAGGTGAAAGGTTAATTCAGGTCTACGCAGCTCAGCTGTCCTCACATGGCTCCTCTGTCACACCTGAACACACACACATGCATGCTCATGCCTTTAGGCTCAGCTTTGTCTACCCAGAAGGCACTTGATCATGGGTTCCATAGCTCCTTTCGCCCAAAAATCACAGGTTTTTTGTTTATATAAACACACATGTAAACACACAAACCCTGCCCTGAGCATACTGTCTGCAATGAAAATAAGGCAAGGGTGATGAGGGGGGGGGATCATGCCTAAATGACTCACAGCTCCATTAGCAACTGCCCCTGCTTGATGCATTCACCTGACACACCCACACACAGCTACCAAGGTGACCTTTACATCCTAACACACACTACGCTCTGACACAGAGGCAGATGCGCTCTATCTGCACTCTGCCTCACACATCCTCCTATATCTCACCTCCCACATGTGTGGCCCTGGGACAGATTATTGGATGTAATAGTTATAACCGTCTTTTAACCCGTTCCCTCTCACCTTCTGCTTCCCTGCATTGCACTGTGCTGTGCTTTGTCCTCTTTCCTACCCTCCTCCTACTTTTCCTCACCTCCTACCATCTTAGTCATGCCCTGCTGACTGCATCCAAACTGTACATGCTGTATGTGAAAGACAGCATGTACAGTTTGCATGCAAAGTAAAAAAAAAGATGTTGAGTATGCAGTCGACTCTCATACAGTCAAAACCATCCCATTATTCTTTGTGCCATGTTGTTCCCATAGAAACAGCACGATCCAGGGACATTCCCAAAACAATGTGACAGATAATAGCAGTAGAAGGAGTGGCGAAATCTGCAAGTTTGAATGTACGTTTCTGAAATAACTTTGGGACAAGAATATAGAGCTGAACCTGAAGGCATCTGGTGTTATCAAGCATACCTGCTGCTCCTACAAATATCTGAATTGATGAGTCGATTGGTTCATTATCGATGGTCGGACAATTACTCCGCAACAATCTAGACAAACAAATTAGATATTTGTCTCGAAAAAATGTGCCATAGCCTAAACATTTTTGGCTAAGTCTTGTTAAAATGTGAATATTTGCTTTACTTTTAGTTTTATGTCACTGTAAATAACATATCTAAGACAGTTGGGGATGTCATCAGGCAATTTGATGACCCCCACTTGGGCTCTAGGAAATTGTCCTGGGCATATTGTGTTATCTTTATTAACATTTTATAGCCTGAACCAGTGGTTCCAGACCTGGGGGTCTAAAGATAAATGTAAGCAGTCAGCAAGTGATTAAAACAAGCAAGAAAAAAAAAGAGATCTGTTTTTCTTACTTTTAAAATGTATTTCTGGGCCAGAGGGCTTCTATTGGAGATGTTAGAGTTGAAGGGCAGAGACAGAGGGGAGGACAATCCCTGAGATGTTCGGCCGGCTCGGGATTCAAACCAGCTTACTATGTTGCGTTGACCGCATATGTGACACCAGCTCTAACCACTGAGCCATTTATTCCTTCTTGTGAAAAGTGGATAGTGCTACATCTTTGTCTCAAAAATAAAACACATTTGTTGCAACTTCTCAAATGTGAAAATGTGCTCCTTGTTTCCATCTTAATGGAATCATTGCACACTGAAAATCATATGGTTCTTTAGTCAGAAAATCATCTAAGGACATCACCTCTAGCTTGGTAACACGTGATGGGTCTTTTTCTCTTTCTTTGGGTCAAAACAACTAATGTGAAAATAACTGACGGATAGATGATGAACTTAATCATTAGCTGCAACTCTACCAATCATAAATCATCCTGACACTAAAGCAATCACCTCTCGTAGAAGGTCACAAGCAGCGTTATAAGAGGTCACAAGCCAAGAAGGATGCGAACCTCTGAAAATAAAGCAAATCAATACTGAATATAACAGTTAAGTGCAGCCTTCATCATATATCCGAACACAAAAGCCATCGACTCTTGTGAAGGGTTTTTCAGAAAGATCTTTAAAGATAAGACAAAATGGATAGAAAATCTAGACCTAGCAAACAAACCAATTGTATGTATTATGTAATGCACCTTTAAGCCATATAGACTTTAAACTATACTATACTGATTATTTGCAATGCAAGTCTTTTGCACCCCAGAATGGACTGACCCCGTTCTCCCTCCATCTTTGACCCAATGTTTCTGCTCTTCCTGTGTCCTCGTGTCCTTCATTCCCTCCTCAATAACTGTGCCCTCCCCAGAGAACCAAACAGCCTACAAAGTCACACCCTCCCACCCCTCAAACAGTCCAAAGGGCAGTATGAGTCCCGACAGAGCGGACAGGGTGTAGAGGCCACTGTTTTAACAACCATTACGGGGATATGTGCTGACAGGGTGTCTGTGTGTGCCTCGCTCGCTCTCTCGCTCCCTCCCTCTCTCTCTCTCTCTCTCTCTCCCCCTCTGCGTGCGTTGGAAGTGCGTGTGTGGGGCAACACTCCAATTAGGAGTGTTGTTGGTGGAGGAGTGGCTTTTCTAAAAGGACTGTGATGAAATGGTTGAATTTGTTTTGCCGTTTTTTCAGACAAATGGCAACGAAACAACCAACTTGTTTCAACTTAATGAGTCTGATTTAGTTTGTATTTCCAAACAAAACCTAACTACAGGCATTGCTCAGCTCATCCTGAGATGAAAACATGTCTTAACTGCATCTTCAAACCAAATAAAAAACTTCTCAATCTCACAAGAGGAACAGTTTGAGACAAATGCCCACAAAGAGCTGCAGAGATGAAAGAGTCATTGTTATACATCCATAATATTGTTGGGATATCTGTTGTAAAATTTCAGGCAATTGAAAAAGTGAAATGTAATCTCCATCTTGTCTTTTTCTGCTATTTTTCGCAAAGATCAGCTTCCTGATGATAAATCGTCCTATGGGGGCTCCAAATAAATGTCATTAAATATGTGTTCTCAACTAGATGGGTGTTGCTTGGCGTTAGCTTCAATCCAAGTTATCTCTTTGTTTTAATTCAATGTGGCGCGGTTGCCTCTGGAGTTGCTTTGTTTCATGGAGATAAAGCTACAGAATGCAGCCACAGCGCCTGTCATCACAAAAAACAATCAGCAGCTGGAGATAAAGGCCAAATCCGCAGTAATTATTGCACCTTAAACACAAGGGTTTATGCTCATATCTTTCTCCTTTGTTTTAATTTGTGGAACTGCCAGATGGAAAGCATTATAGACGGCTGTAATTACGAGAAGATTGTGAAACCGGATTATTGGTTAATGCTTCACATCGAGTGGAGCCATCATTCTCGGTGAAAGGAAATTATTTTCAGTGTGGAAGACAAAAATAAAGCAATTCAGTGCTACAGCTCTGCGTGTGTATCTTCTCACATTCGCAATGTGGACGTTGTTTATTCTGCCATACTAAGAATGGCAAGAGAAAAAGATTTAAAGGTAAAATGTAAAGAGCTTGGCAGAAACAAAACATTTCCCCCCCAGAGGGCTTGATGTTCCCTGCAGTTAAAGAGCACTGTCTTGTCGGATCTGATTGTGTCACAGGCAAAACAAGACTAACAAATTCTTTCCTGTGTTTTGTTTTCAGCCTGAAGCAACACCAGCAGTAAGCCACGGAGACAGGCCACTCTGGAAAGAAGAAGAGATGAAGACCGAGATTATTGGAGTAAACAACTTCAGAAGAAAGGACTTGTGTCAGAAACCGAAGAGTCTGAGAAAGTAGTGCAGAGTAGCAAACTTCAGTGTATGTGTATACGTGTGTGAGTTTGTGTGCGTGTGTACGGGTGTCACAGGCATTCATACATGCACCCGCAGTATGCATGTGTGGGTCATTGTGAGAGCGTTTCTACATTTGATCTAAAAATATATATATATCTCTGAGGTTTATTCAGCACCTAAGTGTTTAATACCTCAACACAAAAACAGCCGCCAGAAGACTTGCGGCTGCATATTGCCATACAACTCCTGTGTGAACCACAATCCTAAAAAGTTACTGATGTCAGTGCGTTGCCCAGAGTGGTAATAATCCTTTCAATGATAGTCATACAGCAGCAGTGATAATAACTCTGTAACTAGCCGCCCCGCCAAGTGCTCCGACAGTGATCCAAGTTACTGCATTCATTTTGCATTTCATATACAGCGATAGTGGCTCACTCTCAGACCCCTTGAGACCTACTCAGGCCCAGACCGTTAAATCCAAGGAGAATGAAATTCAGTCATAACAGATTGCATGAATTTCAATAATTTTAGAAAGGATTTTTCTTTTCTTTTTTAACCTTCTGTTTTCTATAAATGTGGTGGATGTGGCATCTTTTGTCAAGTGTTATATGTAATCCAGACCTTGAGATGTGGCATGGTTACGGTACAGAGTTAAGAAAAGCAGCACAAAGACTTTTAAACTCCTGCTCTGAGGTGAGGGTCTGTGCATCTTTGTGAATCATCTACTTTTGAAAACATTCCCACAGCACTGAATACTGATGTCAGATGCAGTCTGGAGGTGAAACTAATTCTCTTCTCTGTTGAGATGGGCAACGTGTAGATAATGTTTTTTTATTTGTTCTGTTGCTATGGACAGAGAGAAAAAAAACTGCACTCCCAATCAATGTAGCAGCCAATGTACAATACAACTGGGATGTAATTCAATGCATGCAAAATGTAAAGCGTTGCATTCACTTGCCTTTTTTAAACCTATTGCTTGCGCGTTTTGGCAATAGCGCTGCTTTCTAGTGATAGCTTCGTAATGCATTACTGCACATGCTTGCTCCTGAACAAAGGGGTCACCTTTTAGTACTGAACTGGCTTCATTTCAACATCTAATGTATTCATCAGAAACCTTTTGATACCTAGAAATTAGAGCAGTCACCACTGTATAACACTCCTTTTCTGTAGTCTCTTTGGAGCGTCTGTAAAGTGAGTTTCTGCGATGGTTTGTAGTATCATGAGATGAGCAAACAGGAGCTCCACTTTACTGCGCGGGCACTCGGATGCTTCCTCTATAAGCTGGGGAAAGGACTGGAAACACTTGATGCAAAGCCATCGTCTGGAAGGTGTTTTTGGCACAAGCTCTGTTTTTTTTTCTGTGACCACATCAAGTATGTTTTTATTTTGTACTATTTACATTTGGAAATGAGGGGAGTGAACTACCAGATATCTAATGGTTTTATTTTGCAGACATATGGATGAGCAATGGTTTTATGCAATCACACTAAAATATAAACAACCATGCAATGAGGGTTTGATGTGAAATAGTTGAATTTAATGAAGAAAAAAAACAGTTTATGTAAATAGGCAGTAGCTGCAGGTGAACTTTGTGTTTTAAGAAGTACAAACGTTTTGTATTTATAGTGTTTATTTGCACTGAGTTAAACGGAGATAAGGAAAATGTGTTTCTTATGGATATTAATGAAAATACAAATGTGCTGGCACTGAAATGAGAATAAAGCGATTATTGGTTGTCATGTTTTTTAATGGATAACTATAACCATCCTGAGCCGAGGAGTCAGTGATGATGGACCAAAATGCAGCGAATGGAAGACAGTTATCACAAAAGGGATTTTGATAACAGCAGAGATACATCTGATATTTGATTGTTTTGCCAGAGGATTCATAAAACAGCCCACAACGACCATTCAGGACTATAAAATGTTGGATTTAGACACGAATCTAAAAATACCAACCCCTCTGTTGTAGAAAAGAAAAGCAGGGGAACAAGAATTCATTTGGCTTGTTTTTTTTATCACGACTGTTTGGATGACTGCCTACTTTCTCTCCAGCACTGGTGTATCCATAAAAGAGCAGCGTCTGTTTGTGCCGATATCACAGTCTGCACGGGATGACTGTGCCATGAGTCACATATTTGACCAGATGTAACATAATATACGACAGAACTGTATCTATGGGTAGGCATTTTGTGATATGATACTTGCGGGTGGGTGTCTGAGTGTGAAGCTGTCAGCTGACGGTGGGAGGCTCGCTGTGAGCAATGTACCGTGAGCACATGTGTTAACACACCTGATGAAGATCACAATGACGATCACAGCTATATATATTTTCTCTTGCAAAATCCAGACCTGTGTTTCTTCTTTTCTGTGCGTGTGCTTCTTCATGGAGAGATATTGGCTCTTCCTGGCAGTGATAATTTGTTACCACACATGCAGCCTTACAGTAGACACCACAGTTATATTTAGATAATTAGTCTTATTTATAAATCGCCTTTTATTTTTAGTGTCTCTTTTTCTCAAGTAACTCCTGTTCCAAAACAACTCTTTAATTATTACTTGAATTATCTTGCAGCACTTCTGCATGAGGTAAACCACCAATAAGTAATAAGATGAGTAATACAACTAGTGATAAATAAATATTTGTAGTTTTACATTTGCAAAAGAGTAATAAGAGAACAGTTAACTCTACAACTAGAGATAAATACCTATATGAATATTTGAATTTTAAAATGTGATAATGATTGAAAAGGTTTGGATTAATTTATATATTATTTCTAGGAATGCCGTTTTGAAAAAAGTATTTTGTAGGAATATAGGATTTCTTACAACGCCCACTTCCACTGACATCAAATTATTACTATATACTTTTATGACATATAATATTAAACTAGCACAGGCACTACTTTGCACAGAACAGGACATGTAGCGGTATTTAATGAGCGAGTGTAAACCAGCATAGATCAAATAGACTGATATATATTGACCATACTGATGCATCATTGATAATCTAACTCCTAGCACAAAGGACCTGCTGCAGGCACTCCCAACCACCTTCATAAACCTACAATATAGATTGAAATCTCTATAGACATAGCAAGAGATGTCTTGTTCCTGTCATAACACTGGAGTGTCTTATACACACACGCATAATATGGATTTTCACCGTGGTGACAACTCATCATTAATTCAAACAGAAAAGTAGGAAGCACATGAAAAGCTACAAGCATTAAAGGTGTGATCTGAACTGGGTGTGTTATGGTCTGTGTGACTAACGCTGAATTAAAAGCAGAGGGAAATGGTGAAAGTAGAAAAATAAGCCCTTTGTTCTGATCGAGCAATTAGCTGCAAAGCTTACTGTAGCTCCCTCAACAAAGTTTCCATGGTAACATTTCTGTTGCTGCTCAATGAGAGGCTGAAAGTTTGAGACTAGTGCTGTAACACTGAGCTGTAAGAAACATCCACAAAAGGAGCAAAATGTTAATAATCCTTCTAGTAATTTTTTCATCAATGGAAATTCAATTTGTTGTTCACAAAGAGCAGCACATGAGAAGCATGAAAAAACAACAGAGAGAGAGGGCTGCAGGAAGGAGAGGAAATCAGTGCACACGGGAGACGCTCCTAATGGCTCAGTGAAGTCAACAGGAGATGAACTTAATAAAACATTAAAGCTGGTATTATGTCATTTCCACTGCGCCATCCAACCTCTGAGTATTATAAGTCAGTGGGTGTGAGAATACTAGGCCAGGACTCCACTTAGCCCACTGTAGGGCATGTTATCTTCGCTCATCCATATTTATGACCCTATCACTGTAACCCCAAGTTCTGCTGGGATGTGTTTCCGCCAAGCTAATCTCTCTGCTGTAGGTGCGGTTCAAAGCTTGGATTCTTGAACTCCTGCATTAGAAAAAACATGAGCGTGGTTGTGCCTCAGTTTGATTGTGTAATAGTTCCCCACAAACACACCCATAGGAGTATCAGTGAGTCACAGGATTGGTACCCAGAGAACCAGTAGATTGGTTGCTACAATTTCCTTGATGTGACCCCGTACAAATGCGTCATTATAAGAAGCATTATTTGAAAATGTCAAGGTGGAGGTCGGTCTTCAGCTGACATTTTATTGGTCGCACAAGGCCGATTTGTTCCAGAAAATACAGTGAAAGGTTTTATTTCTGTACAGCACTGTCTCTTCATAAAAGGTGAATAAATCATGCCTCCTTATAACGGGTATATTAACAAACAAGAATGCTGGTTGTTCAATGAGGGAACTCCTCTTTGATGCAATTACTTTCATTTAATAGAGAAATAACAATGCTTGTCTGATGGAAAAGGTTACCCTGCTGATGTAGATGTAGAGAGACTGACTCCTTCAATAATAACAAAGAACAAGGCGAGACAACAAGCACGGCAGAATGTTTCGTTTTGTCTCTGAATATACATTTGACACATTTTAGCTGCACATTTTCAAACACCCTTCAACATATCAGAGACAACAGACCCGTCACATGTTGTGTCTGCTTTCCCCTAACTGGCTGTTTCCGTCAGCAGCGGGGATGTGACCCCGGACAGCCCAGCAGCAACAGCTTTCCACTCCGCCGCTTTGCTCCATGCAGCAGGCTGTTCATTGTCAGAGCCTGTCAGAGCTTCCCAGTCAAAAATCATTGTCGCTATCACAATATTCAGCCCCACAGCCCCGGCTGGCATTTCAGACAGTGGATCACAGGCTGGCGGGTGACACGAGAGGCCAGACGCATGCAGCACGAGGCACTCAATGCATCTGCATCAAAACAAATGAACGTGTGGTGTTGTACTCGTTTTTTAAGACAAAGCTTTGAGGTGAGAGCAGAAATCTAACATCTCTGTAGAGATACCCAACCTGTCTGTGGTGATTTATTCATGCAGGGCTAAAGGCTGACCTTAGACCTGGCTCACATTAAACTGACCTTTAAAAAGGTCTAGCTGCAGCTGAACCAGGTGAGATGTGATAGAGAGAGAATAAAATGTACAGTTCCTCGATCAGCGTTTACAGATTGGACCCTAAACTGATTAGTTCCTACTTCTAATGGGTTGAGAAACAAACAGCATCCTCTCAAAGCTTAGAAACATTTTAGGAACTTGTTTTTTGTTATAATTACATTATATTTTGATGATAAAGTTACAAATATCAAGTTGGTTATTTCCATCATAGTACATTTAAAAAGCATGTTCACTGCTGAATCAAACCTCAAATCATTCAGTCAGAATTAAAATGAACAAAATATTATGAAAAGGAATCAACACTAGTCACTAGGTTGTCAAAATTGCACAGCAATTCATCCAAAAGTTATTCAGATACTTCAGTCTCTCCAGTGTTTGGTTCAACCAGACAACAACATTCTGGGAACACTCCCTAAATCTAAATGTATTCCTTTGTGAGGAACCAAAACCAAATGGAATGACAACTTGTACATCAATTCCAGTGTTGCTCAAAGTAAAGCAAAACATTACAGCTCAGTTAAAGTGGACCTATCATTAGGGATACTCCGATCGCCAATTTTGGGCCCGATCGCCGGAATCAGTATCGGTCGATACCGATCGCCGATCCGATCGAGTGGGCGGGGCATAAATGGAAGATTTAAACATCACTTTAAATCTTCCATTTAAAGTGATGTTTAAAACTCAGTTAATGGGGCTCATTCACTGGAGCATCCACAAACAACAATCAACTTAATTATTACATTCAAATGATGTACATTATTCAAGTTTACATTCACTTTGGATAATAACACGGGAGAAATGAGCGGAAGCGCTCTCTTTTCCTCTCTCCCTCTCCCTCCCCCTTTCTCTCCCCCTCTCTCCCCCCCTCCTGACAGCCTGTCAGTATCTCATGCAGCTCACTGATCCAGTAATGAGTGACCCGACAGTGAAGAATAAATATATTTATAACTAGTTCAGCTTGTTCCAGAGGTAGATAAAATAGCTAAGTGTGTTAGGTCAAACTCTTGTGTGTTTCGCTCCGCTCACCGGTCCGTTACAGCGGGTGGAGCTGCAGGATTTCTGCTTCACACACACGTTGCATACCGCTATTTTACTGTCTTTTTCGGACACCTTAAAATAATGCCAGACCGGTGAAGCCATTTTGGCGAGCTTGTTTTGCCGCGCACAGAGAAAAGTGTCATGTATTTTACGTCATGCAATCGGCTCTCGCGATCTGCATGTTTAGAGAGCACCGATCGATCGGTAGAGAGTGAGTATCGGCAGATCTCGATCGGTGACCGATCGATTGGAGCATCCCTACCTATCATGCTATATTTGAATCATATATTGTAGGGCCATACCTATATAAAGTTTTTTTTTCAAAATACCAATCAGAGCATTTTAGCCATGCCTCATTTCGCTCCATTTGCTCTTTTCCAGCCCTGTTTTTGCAAGGGCTGAATCTGTGAGAAGTCTTCTTCGCTGCTTTTGTGGCAGACTACAGCGCCACTTACAGGCCTGGCATATGTACTACAGCGTCTCCAGCGCTTTCGAACGGCAATGGCCGTGGCCGTGGCCCAACCCCCCATTCCCCTGATAGGTGGAGAGTTTCCCATATAGGCGGAGCTCCCTGTTTCTGACGTCAGAACAATTTCAAATCTGTATCAGCTCCGTTGCAGCCCCGTTTTTAGAGATTTGGGTATGGAGGAAAAGAGAGAGTGTTTTCTGACACTTGGTGAGTTCCCTGACACACCGGGGACACATATTCATGTGTAAAAGA